GGCATAAACTGTACCTCTGTGAAGGAGAGATCTGGCAACATCTCCAACAAGTGCAGAGTGAATCGGATATAGAACCAAATAAAGGGGGTACAATTCTACAAGGCTAACCTCTGTGCATGTACTTGAGGCCTATGTCCCTAGGGATCCGCAAAAACAGCGTTTACATAACAGGCCTTTGTGTTGTCCTAGATAACAGTAAGTAGAGGAGAGGTCTGGATGTTGTTAAGGATTTAGGACTGAATGCGATTTCCTGGGGGACAGCGAGGTGAGGAGGAATGAGGGGCCAGGAAGGAGTGAGTTAAGAAATAATCTGCCTGATCTAATGAGGAGAATGGTAACAACAGCAATAATAAAATAATTCCTTATATTTGTCATTCCTGGCTTCTATATACAACAGTACTTTCAGATAAACAAGAAATGGATAACACTGATTGCCTCTAAGAAGGAACCGGATGGCTGGGGGGACAAAAGTGGTTGTTGTTGTTAGTTGATATCGAGTCAATTCTGACTCACGGCAATCCTATGTGTGCAGAGTAGAACCGCTCCATAGGGTTTTCAGGGCAGTGACCTTTTGGAAGCAGATCTCCAGGCCTGTCTTCCGAGGTGTCTCTGGGTAGGTTCGAACCACCAACCTTCCAGCTAATAGTGCAGTGCTTAACCATTTGCGCCACCCAAGGACTCCTGACAAAGGTGGAAGGGACGTTTTTTACAGTATACCCTTTTAAATCTGTCCAATTTTGAACCATATGACTGTATTATCTATTCAAAAATAAGTAAAGGAAATTTTAAAGTATTTCAAGCATAGCCATTAATTGTCCAACAACCCTAGGAAATAGGCAGAGCAAAGATCATTAGTCCCATTTCATTGATGAGGAAACCTGAGGCTCCAAGAAGGGAAAATGAATTGCTCAAGGTTGTGACAGTGTTGGAAGTAAGACCCAAACCTTCAGAGGACTAACCTAGTGTTCTTTATCAGAGACTCCACAACTGGAGAGACTAGCAGCACCAGACTCACTTTCTAAGTTCAGTCTGTATAGCCTGAGCACAATGAATAACATAGGATGATCATCATATACAAAATCTTATTAACCAGAATAGCAGGACATATGAGCTGTGTGGAGCTACCTAAATGTTCTGGCTAACTGATAAATACCCTGAAACTCTTCTGGGTTTCAACACTTAGTATTGAAAATCTTTATAAAATGCCAGGTCTAAATTCTCTCAGTAAGCTCAGAGGCCACAACTGCATTTTCACTAGCCTCATTAACTCGCAGAAAGAACCTCAGGGTCATCATTGTGAACTCAGGGGGAATCAAAAGGGTGGCCCAGTGTAAAAACGAGCCCTGGGCTTAGGAACCAGCCAGACCTTCGGTTCAAATCCTGGTTTTGACACTGACTTGGGTGTAAACTTGGATAAGCTGGTCACTTCACTCATCTTGGCCTCAACTCCCTCTTTGTAAATAAAAATCGGCCGATCAACAGACATGTAGTAAGCACTGTGTGTCTCACACTATTCTAGGTGCAGGGATTCTCAGGTGCACAAGACCAGCAGACCCCCGCACTTTCAAGGCACTTACACTCAACCGGGGGAGACAAGCAAACAAGGTAATTTCAACTATTGGTAAGTGCTATGAAAAAGTAAAACAGAGTAATGGGACAGAAGGACTGGGAGGTTAGGGAAGTCCTCTCTGAGGAGGGGCATTTGAGTTGGGACCTCAATGATGAGGAAGTGGCAGTTACAAGATCTGCATTTGCAGGCGAACAAATGCAAAGGTCCTGAGGCAGGAATGAACCTGACTTGTTGGAAGGTCAGCAAAGGCAAGTATGGCTAGAGTAGTGAACGAGAGGCAGAGTGGAGGGAGACAAAGTCAGTGACACAGACAGGGCCAATCTCTTAGGGCATGGAGTTTAGAAAGTTTTCTGGCTGCAGTAGGAAGCCACTATAGAAATAAGATGGCTTCATCAGAGCTGTGATTTTCCTATTTTTTAGCAGCAGAACTCTTTAATCAAATAAAAACAAGTAGAACCTCAATATAAAACTAGATAAAAGTAGTATTGGTAGGAAGCTAGTTAAAGACCTTCTGAACCTCTGCCCTCGTAGCCTCCCAAACATCAGAGCTCAGAAAAGCTGGAAAACCAGTAGGTGATCTGTCTCTAAGGTTCCTCAAGCTCTAACAAAACCCAGCATTACTGTAAAGCATAACAACGAGAGGAGGGATAGGAAATAGAGCAGGACACTTGCTGAACCCAAGATGGGCCCTGAAAAGGTTTTCAACTACATCCGTGATGTGGATTTGCTTTCTGCAGAAACAATAACAAAATCTGGTTCAGTAAAAGTTCCAGTTAAAATCACATTGCTGAATTATACACATAGAAATTGTTGAGATGATGTGTCTTTTGTTATGTGTATTTTCATCACAATTTTTAAAAAATCACACTGCTTGAAACTAAAAAGAAAAGAGATCAGGGGTTGCCAGGAGCCAGGGTAAACAGAGGGAACCGACTATGAACAAAGGGACACAAGAGAATTTTTTGGGTTGATGATGGTAATGTTGTATATCCATTTGTGGTGGTGGTTACATGACTATATATGTTTGTCAAAATTCATAGAATTGTACACTTGAATGGGTGGAATTTTACTGTGTGTAAATTAAACCTCAATAAACCCAACTTTTAAAAAAAAAAATCACATTGCTGGAAGACCGCTTTGAGATATTTTACAGAGAGGAAAGCTAAAGCTGATATTCACACTGAGTCAGCAGACGCCAGAAATCTGGATCTGAAAGGCAGGGTTCCCCACTCATTGCTGCTCAGTTTTAACTCAGGTGGCTGTGACCGAGCCTCTTCAGTGCTCTGGGCTTCAGGTTTCCCCAACTGCAAAATGCTTGCCACTACAAACAATCCCAATTCTAGGAAGCAGTCTGAGGTAGGGGAGAGACCTCAATGCTTCGGAGTCAAAAAAAACTAGAAGAAAACTGCCCAATTCTATCACTAGCTGTGTACAGTGGGGTTAACGATACCCTCAGGAGGCAGAGCACACATCTGTAAAGCAGCTGGCACACCCAGCCTGTGGAGAAGGGCAGCCACTATAACTATTAAGAAGTCTGACCATGCCTACATTGCTGGTCCTCTCTCCTCCCAGTCCACCAGGCTGTCTCCTAGGAACAATCTGGAAGTGGCCATAGAAAAAGAAATAACTAACTGCTCTGCCCTGCATTGCATAACCTATGCCAGGGTACACAGTACAGCCTGAGCTCCGCTGGGCACAAGTTGTTATCTCGACAGGTAAACAGGAACTCTCTGCCCCCTCCTTGACCACCGTCAGCACTGGGCAGCCACAAACACTCGGGGAGTGGGCAGACAACTTGTGAGAACACTGCTGTTCTTTATGGCTTTACTTTAACACCCCACTCCCTCTGTCACTGCTGGCATCAGAGCAGCACAAACTCCTCCATGAACACACTCCACCCATACCACAGCCCTTTCCAAGCCACCTGCTCCAAGGAGATGGTCCTGAATGAATCAGAGCTCCTGCCTGCACCTTACTTCCTTCTGGTCCAAGGAGACCAAAAGCACACAGAAACCAGGAGACTGTAAAAGTCTTCAAGGCAGAGTTTCTGCTTCCCATGACACATCTACTCCAGAGAGACACTATGGTCATGTAAAGATAGTTGGCTTACTTTCTTCTCCATGGAGGGGCAGGAGGGAGGCCACACCCAGAAACGATCCCAATTTTACTGAAACAAAGACAACCAGCTAAGTATCCTGGCCAAAGACCACACTTTGCAGGCCTACCGCTGCCAAGAGTGGTAGAGCAGACAGGCAGGCACGCACCTGGGTGAGCACTGGTCAAGGGCTCAACGGATGCCAACTGCCCTGGCTCTACTTCCTGTCCACACAACATTTCTGAGCCTGGGTCTCCCCATCTGTGAGGCACAGAGATAACACCTGCCCTGTACTGCCCACCACCCAGCCCCCGTGCTGTTAGAGTTGTCCTGGGAACTCAGAACCTTGAAAGAATGAGAAGCCTTGCTGTATAGTGCAGTTAAGTAAAGGTATTCAGTGCCGCCTGTGAACAAGAACAATGCTCTTCTGACACCTAGGTAAGAAACTGTTTCATTAATCACAAACATCATTTATCAAACCATCACCAGGATATTGCAACCCACAGGGCAACTACATCCTGCTGTTTCTATGCGGAGCCATTGCTAAAACTTGGTCCTCTCCCCCACCTTCCGGTATCTGTGAAGTTTTCGGTTTCCATCTAACTCCAGAGCAGCTGGGGGAGGGGACCCAGGGCTGGCCCATCTCGTGTAAAGTTCCACCACCAGGTCCACAAAGAGACTGCAGGGAGGCGTGGCCAGGCTGGAAATTCTGACAAAAAGTTTTGGCCCTCAGGTCCTAGAAGCAGCTACTTCCTGATCACTCCTTGTCAGTGGGGGTGTAGTTTTCTGGTTGGATTCCTCACCAGCGGGCTGAGCCGGGGGCTCCCACCGCGTCCCCCGAGTGGCCCTCGGTGGGGAGGGGTCAGGACGGCCAGGGGTCGGCTCGTGCGGGCTACAGAACTCAATCTCACAGACTGCCTTCCACGGGCGAAGTGATTTCAGAGCACAGTCCCCCCAGAGTGTGAGCTCGGGAGGTCAGGGGTTTCTCTTCCATCCACTGCCTCCCTCACACACAGAACCGAAGGCCCGCGCTTTGCGAAGAACCGGAGTCAAACCGGATTTGCGGGCTTGAACCTGGCCCAGACCCCGAGGCCCAGGCCTGCTCCGAGAGGAGAAGAGAGAAAAGCAAAGCAAAAGGATTTGCAAGAAACCTCAAAACAATCCGGAGGTCTCTCGCTGCCGGCATGGGGCTCAACTAGCCCCCCCACTCCCCGCCTGCGGAGGGCGAACCTTCCAGGGGCCCGTCGTGCCCGGGCCGCGGAGCAGCCCGAGAGGGCAGAGGCGTCACCCGGACCCGCGACCCCGCAGCCAGCCTGCCCGGGCCAGGCCTCCCACCTTGACTCGTTTGCCTTGGATCTCCAGCGTCTTCATGGTGAAGTCGACGCCGATGGTGCTGCCCTGGCGCTCCGAGAAGGCTCCCGTCTTGAAGCGCTGCACCACACACGTCTTGCCCACGCTCGCGTCCCCCACCAGCACCAGCTTGAACAGGAAATCGTACTGTTCGTCCGGGTCCCCCGGGCCCGGGCCCGGCCCCGCCATGACCTCGAGGAGCCGAAGGGCTGGCCTAGGTTCACGGATGCCGCGGGCCGAGCTCCGTCCGCGCCAGCACGCAAGCCGCCTGGCGACGTGGAGCCGCCGGCGCTACCTGGAAGACTGGCGCTGCCGACCGCCGGCCTGGGCCCAGCCCCGCCCCGGCCTCTGCACCGCCTTCGGCCCGACCGGGACCCCAGCCGGCCCCGGCTCCGCCCGGGACTCGCCCAGCCCAGCCCTCAGCAAAGCTCCAGGCCCGGCCCTCGCCTCCCCGCGAGGGCAGTTCCGCCCTCGGGCCCGCCCTCGGGGCCGCCTCCAGCCCGGCCCCACCCTCAGCACCGCCCCCAGCCCGACTCCGCCCCGAGTGCTGTCTCGGCTCGGTCCGCCGTTAACACCCCGCCTCTCGGCTCCGCCTCCAAGCCCGACTTCCCGCCCACAGCATCGCCCCAGTCCCCGCCCACACCTCCTCAGCCCCGCCCCCGGCACCTCGCCTCGGCCCCACACCCGATTTGTCCCTCCCTGCGCACCGCCCCAACCATCACAGTCCACCTCAGACCCTTCCTCAGTAAGGCTGCCAGCCCAGTTCCGAGCCCCAGTCTGCCTGGTGCTTGCAGCTCTCGCACAGGCCAGCCTGCCTGGGCTCCGCTTCCTGTTGCCCTCCCAGGCTTGAGGGGAGGCTGGGCCTGCAGGCCTGGGGGCCTGTTAAACCAGTTCTCGGACCCAGAATGGCCTCCACTGGCCCAGGATGATTGGCAAAGGGAGCAACCATGGCAGGTCACCTCAGTGCTCCTACTAACAGTGTAGAATCCTACCAGAGGCATTAGCATTTACCCGTACTGAAGAGGGGAAAGGCCTGGCATATTACAAGAAGGAAAGAAGACGGGTTTGGCAAGGCGAGAAATTAAACGGGCTACAAAACTTGGGGGGAGGCCAACGTCCTTGTGGGGAGAGGGAATTGAAGGCTGTGTGCTTAAGGTGACCCTCCAGGACTCTCAAGAGAGGGGAGTTAGGGACTCCCATTTGGTGGGAGTTTAGTCCAAAGGAGTTGGGCGATCCCTTTGCCAAAAGGCAGCCTACTAGTGGTTGAAAGGGCTACTTCTCCTGCTCAGTTGGAGTTATGGATCCAGTTGGGGGAACTGACCTGGCCAAAATTACCAAAGATTGGCCTAAGCCAAGGAACAAGGGAGACTTGTGGGGAGCTCCGTGGAAGTGTTGACAGTTCCTGAGATGCTACAGTGAACCAGGAGTCGTCAGAAAAAGTGAGTCCCAAAGATCAAATAGGACATATCCCCTAAAGGGCTTCCTAACTACCATGATGGGACCCAGAACACACCTCTTCAGGAAGCCCCTTTGTAGTACCCCAATTCTATTTAATTCAATAAATTTGATTAATGCCCACTATGAGCGAGGCATTGGAGTGCTGGTGGCGCAGTGGTTAAGAGCTATGGCTGCTAACCAAAAGGTCGGCAGTTTGAATCCATCAGCCACTTCTTGGAAACCCTATGGGGCAGTTCTACTTTTTTTTTTTTATGAGCCAGTCACTGTTCTAGGACCTTGGAATATGTCAGTGAACAAAACAGAAAAATCTGTACCCTCCAGTGGGCCCTGCTCAGGGCCTTCTCTGGGCAACTGTTAGCTCTGTGGGTCAGCAAGCCCTACTGCAGCCATCTCACACCAGTCTCCTGGTTCCTGCCATCTTGCTACTGCTGCCCTGCAGTCTCTCTTCCTCGTGTTACAGCTCCTTCATCTCTCTCTCTCCATGTCTCCTCTTAAGCCTAGCAGGATGGCAAAACTGACCAATCCCTTCATTAGGGTTCCATGCACCTTATTTGCGTTAGCGGCAAGGTCTCCAATCCCCTTGGTTCCAAGCACCTTATTTGCATAGTCCTGCCCAATCATTGTATGGGAGTCACAAAGACTATGGCTTGTTGTGGTTGCTAGGTGCCCTCAAGTTGGTTCCAACTCACAGCAACCCTATGCACCATAGCACGAAACACTGCCCGGTCCTGCGCCATGCTCACAATCTTTATGCTTGAGCCCACTGTTGCAGCCACTGTGTCAATCCATCTCATTGAGGACTTTCCTCTTTTTCACTGACCCTGTACTTTACCAAGCATGATGTCCTACTCCAGGGACTGATCCCTCCGAAGACTATGGCCAGAAGGGCCATACTAAGTAATTCACTGCACTACTCCTGGGACTGATGGATCTAACCAACTACCACAGCAGAAAACCTATCAGCTTAGACTGAAGAGGATAAGGATAGAATGAAAAGAAAGAAAGCTGTCTGGCTCTTAGAATTCTACAGGCAGGAAACAGGCCAAAGGAGATACATCTGTTGTCCTCCAAGAAAAGAAAAGGACCAGATCTGGAGAAGTTTGGAGTTCAGCAGAACTGTTCAAAGGAGCACAGGAAGCAGGGTTGACTTGGTTTCAAAGGGTGGAACCATGACCTTCTAGGTTTCAAAGGGTGGAGCTAAGGTTTCCTGTATCTCAAAGGGTTGAGCCACAACCTTCTAGCTTTCAAAGAGTCAGATCTTCACCAACTTGGTTCTGGAGTGAAGGCTGCCCTTCTGGTGTGCCCAGAGATTGGGGCCACTGACCAAAACTGAGGGGGTGGGGCTGCCATTCCAAGAAGCAGAACGGGGCCTGCCGTAGCCAAGGGACTGCGGTCGCTACTTAGATGGACTAGGAGAATGGGGCCACCCAAAGTTGAAGGAGCAGAGTTGCCATCCCAGTGGGCCTGGATAGTGGGGCTGAAGCCCAGGGCCACGGGGCCTCTACCTAGCATCCAGAGAGTGCGGCCAACACCCAGAGTCTGGAGGGCAGTGCCATTATTACCCAAACGGTCTCAGGGAAAACAGGATTATTTTCAAACCTTGAGAGTTAATGTAGTTTGGTCCACTGTGTTTTGGGCTTGCTTGTTGCCTGTTATCCCTTCTTTCCTTCCAATCTCTCACATTTGTAACGGAAATGTCTGCCTTCTGGTTGTTCCACCATTGAACTTTGGAAGCAGATAATTTGTAGTCTAGAGTTCACAGGTTCACAGATGGAGAGGAGTTTTGCCCCAGGGTGGAATCTGCCTAAAGTCTCACCATATTTGATTTAGATGGTTCAGAAGATGAGACTGAACTTGGGTCGATTTAAGACGTTTGGGATGATGTGATGGGGTGAATGTTTTGCATGTGAGAAGGACATGGATTTGGGGGGGCAAAGGGTAGAATGTTATAGATTGAAATATGTCCCCCCAAACTATGTGCTGTAAATCCTAGCCCCTATACTTCTGGTTATAATCCCATTTAGGAATGGGTTTTCTTCATTATGTTAATGAGACAGTATTAGTGTAGGATGTGTCTTGAGTCCGTCTCTTTTGAGATATAAAAGGAGCAGATTAAGCAAGGAAGCAGAGAAGCAGAGACGGGGGAAGCGAAATGCCATGTCACATTAAGGTCACCAAGGAGCCAAGGAATAGACGCTGAAGAGGACCTTCCCCCAGAGCCGACGGAGAGAGAAAGCCTTCTCCTAGAGCCAGTGCTCTGACTTCAGACTTGTAGCTTCCTAAACTGTGAGAAAATAAATTTCTGTTTGTTAAAGCCACTCACTTGTGGTATTTCTGTTATAGCAGCAGTAGATAATTAAAACAATACCCAACAGTACCAGCCAGGAAACCCCAAAGCACCACTGAAAAGCAATTTTGGGAGCCCAGCTTTGGTCCTTTGGACGGGACTCGAGACCTGGAGGGGCAGGAAATAGTCTCCATTCCCAGGTAGAATGAGAATAAAGGTGATGGGGATGGCAGACTTTTGTATGCTGGGTTTGGCTTTGGGAAGGTGGGGCATGTCAAAGCCCAGAACCCCATAAAACCACCTCCCACCTCCAACTCAAAGCAGCTACCCACAGCATGAGCTGGAGTGGGGGGAGGGAGAGATGAGTCAATAGCCAGGATGATCCAGGGGGGTCTCACCCATTTGAAGCATGGGGAGAGGGAGAAAGAACACTGACAGTTGCAAGGGTGTGTGTTTGGGCGGGGGGGTGGAAAGTGGCTAAATTGGTCTTTACATTGCCCTTGCCTGGAATTGGTTTGGGTGGACTGGGGGCATGTTGGTTTGAGTATGGATTTTGCCAGAAAGCCCAGCCACCACTTGCATTTGGGTAGGTTGTGATCCTTGCAGTAAGACATGGGAGAGCAAAGAGTTAACACCCTGTCCCCAGGCTTTGTGCCAGGGAGGAGCCGCTCTTAACCTCACTAGAGCTTGAGCCTGGATGAAACTTGGTTTCCTTCAGATTAACACCTATCTGCGATCTGGTTTTTTATTACTTTGTTATTATCTCCCCTACTAGGCTGTAAGCTCCAAGAAGCAGCCATGTCCCCCTAAGTATTTGTAAACCTTGTGTCTGACATATAATAAACAAAAAAAAACTCATTGCTGTTGAGTTGATTACGACTCATAGCGACCCTATAGGACAGAGTAGAACTGCCCTGCAGGATTTCCAAGGAGTGGCTGGTGGATTCCAACTGCCAACATTTTGGTTAGCAGGTGAACGCTTAACCATTGGGCAACCAGGGCTCCTGACATATAATAAGTAGGCCTAATTAGTGATTCCACCACCCATCTGTCAATTTGTTTTACTGCGGTAGCTTGTGTGTTGCTGTGATGGTAGAAGCTATGCTACTGGTAGTTCAAATACCAGCAGGGTCACCCATGGTGGGCAGGCTTCAGCAGAGCTTCCAGACTAAGACTAGGAAGAAAGGCCTGGTGACCTACTTCCAAAAATCAGTGAATGAGAACCCTTTATATGGATCACAATAGAATATTGTCGGATATAGTGCTGGAAGATAAGCCCCCCAGGTTGGAAGACACTCAGATACACAGTGGCCACAACAATGGACTAGAGCATACCAATGATCATGAACATGGCGCAGGACCAGGCAATGTTTCCTTCTGTTGTACACGAGGTCACTATGAGTTGCAGCTGACTCAATGGCAACTAACAACAATAACAATTCGTGTACTCCACGTTAAGGGAGGTCTCTAGAAGCTTAATGGGGTTTGCAGAAGTTAGAAAAACTTGCATTTGAAAACTGCAAGCAGTTCTGTCTTGAGAATGATGGCGACTTGAATTTGCCTTTGTTCTGGGGAAATAACCTGAAGGGATAGTTT